CATCAGCAATACCCTCCTCCTATTTCTTGCAAACACTGCCTGGGTTCATCAATGGAGTATAAGACCAAGAAATAACAAGCCACAAAAAACAAGAAAAGCATTTTACGACCAATTACAACAAATAATAGATCCAGTCAGAGGAAAGATGATAATATTGAGGGATTTTAACGCTCGAATAGATAATCATGTAATACCCGGCATTAAACAAAAACGTAACGAGAATGTTAAAAATGAACTGATGATCAACTTCTGCACGAATAACAAACTACGAATAAACAGCACATTTTTTGACCACAAAGACCAACACAAATATACATTTAATAATACCCGTGGACAAAGATCTATGATAGATTACGTTATAACCAACAGACATATACATCCATCAAAAATAATCGACGTAAGATGCCCATACTCAGCAGATGTAGATAGCGACCATAATCTAGTATTATATAAAATAAAAATAATCCTGAAATATTTCCCACCCAAGAGAGCGGCGCCAACACAAATAAAAATCAAAGTCGAAGGACTAAATACGGAATCCATGGAATACTTATACAGGAAAATAATATCAGAGAAGATCGCTGGGAATAAAATATTAAAAAACGATAACATCGAGGAAAGCTGGGAAAAACTCAAAAATAATATAATAAACGAAGCAACACAATTACTTGGAGAGAGGAAAGTAACGAACACTAACATATCAAAAAAGAAAACACCATGGTTTAGAGAGGAAGTGAAGACAAAATGTGAAGAAAAGCAGAAAGCCTTTTTACAATACAGAACACAACAAACACAACGGGCATACAACCACTATAAAGGAATCAGAAATGGAATACTTTAGTTAGACAAATAAAAAAGGAGCACTGGCAGAGTTTCTCAAAACAGATGGAACACGACTTCTACGAAACACTAAAAGAAATATGGAGTATGATTAGAGGACAAAGAAAAGAGACGAACGACTTAGGCAATAGTTATTTTAGTTTAGTTATTTTATAACTATTGTCTAAGACGGGAATAGATTTTGTTTCGATCCATAGAGGTGGCTATACCGCTCTGACGAGATCTAAAGAGGTCGAAATACGCATAAGCGGCTTGCCGCCGCTCTGCATTGAAACAAAAATCTAGTACTATCGGTATATTTTATTGATAATTATATGACTAAACACCATATTGACAGGAACAAATGTATTGATGTGTGTTGCCATGGAGCTGCAGCTATGGTCGGCAAAATAAAAGGAACTGTAACAAGAATAAAGAATATTGCACCCAATTGTAGTAGCAGTTACTGCGTTCTGCATAGCGATGCACCTGTCGCAAAAAAATGCCATCGGCTATAAAGAAAGTTCTCGATCGAAGAGGTAGGAAGTCAGCATCAATCACTTTGCTACATACGGAAGTAAGATGGCTTTCAAAAGGAAAAGTTTTATCAAGATTATTTGAATTGCGCAACGAGCTTACGATATTCTTTGCTGAACAACCCATTTCTGATTCTTTTGATATTCGATAAATTTAACGTATTCTGCCAGTCCCTACAAGGAAGAACAGTAACCAGATGAACAGTAAAAGACAAAATATCGTCCATTAAAAACAAAGTTTGCTTCGAGATAGAATGTGTGGAACAAAAAAATTAGCAATGTTTTCCTCTTTTAAATAACGTCCTGGAAGAGAGTGAGTTAGGAGTAACTCCAGATGTTGAAAAAAACATAATTGAACATTTAATTAATCTCCAAAAATCCTTGAAATATTATTTCACGGAGAAGTTACAGGATATCGACTGGGTTGACTGGGACGACTTACCGATGCCAGACTGATTTTTTAGCTTACGCTTATACCAAAAACAAGTTCAGAAATATTCTGGGTGCAGCTCCGTATCTTCGTATTCAATTGTCGGATATTAAGGGCCGATTGTTCGAACGGTAATCAAAACTTGATTGTAATCAAATATTTAATTACATTCAAATACGTTACAACAGCTGACAAAATTATTAAAAATTGCTTAATATTATTATTGATTTGTAAATAAAAACATGAAACTAACATCAAAAAGAATTTAATTATGGTTTATTTTAAATTAAAACGCAAAATAATAAAATAAATCAGTCAACATAACATCAAAAACATCACATTTGATTTTAATTAAATATTTGATTACAATCAAGTATTGATAAGCGTTAGAACCATGGACGTATAAATACAGATGGACTCAGTTATTTACATAAAATTGTGAAGTCAAAATTATTTGAATATGTCACATTCTCAGCACCTCCAACTGTTGTCACGTTTTTTTATTAAAAATTCTTATTCGCGAGTCGCTGAAAATATTACTCCGTATTTTATACTCTACAGGTGCTATCAAACCAAAATAATAATTTATTGGTTATATTAATATATCTAATTGTAATCAAAATATCAAGTGTGCACATAGCGTGCATTATCATTTAATAATAACGTATAATAGATATCAATAAATTATTTTATATTTAGAAGCACTGAAAACTATTTATAAATGGCAACGGTTGTTTACATTTCTCTGTTTTACGGTTCTACGTCAAACTTCAAATGCTATTCCATGTTTGTTTACAACGATTGAGGAAATAAGGAAAAATTGTTTTTAGATAATTTTGGCTGTATTTTGAGTGATATTTGTGAAAAGTGAAATAAAATAAACGAAATATTTACATCCCGGTCTTTCATTTCATTTGTAAGTACATAAAATTTACATTATTTAGGATGAGGAAATGAAAAAGTGTGTTTGTTTACATTTTAATAGGCGTACCATTGGGTTTATTCATGTTCATTCATGTATTCAATAAGATATAATAAAATTGTATTTTAATTTTTCTATAAAGACGTGATTTGTTAATAGTTAAATTCTCGTTTTTTTTTAATTCTTTGAACGTGTTTTTATACATTATTACTAGGTACTTCCAATTTTTAAAATCTGAATAATTACCCGCGAGTAAAAATTCAAGCACGCTTATACTCATTGCGGAAGCATCACATTCTATCGAAGCTTCAAAACATTGTGTGTTAAAGGTATCTTATTGCTGTGTCCATCTATGTTTATACGTCCATGGTTAGAACAATCGGCCCTTAGCCTAATTTAAACACGTTCGCGGACACCTAGTTTTTATAGGGGGTCGCAAAAAACACATTTGTAAAAATCTTAAAATTAGTTATTTTTCTGTCATAAAAAAGTAGTTTCGTAACATTTTAGAGTGTTTAGGTTGTTTTTTATAAAAAAACAAGGTGCGGTAAATGCCGCTATGTCCAAATATGTCACAAAAGTTGTGCAACTGGACAAAGCGATACATGCCGCTCTCGATTAGTAAATGCAACTAAATCTGTATTTCTGTAAAAAATAATATAGAAATATCCTCATAACGAAAATATAATACAGAGATGCGCTTATATTAAAAAATTTAATTTTTGTGGTACAGTTCAAAACATGGTATTGGGACCGTGCAAGTTCGGAACAGCGACACCTGGTGTCGTAAATGAGCCAAATTTACTGCGCTTTCATGTTAGATCGAGGTTACCGGATAACTTTCAAGGACGTGGCCCCAAAAAAGAATAAGAAGAAAAAGTAAGATTGAGGTTATGTCGGTATGTTATTAAAAGGTAAACGTTGATGTAGCGTAAATACAAATAAATATATTATTGAATTACAGCATTACTGTTAATATGGATGCAATAATAAAAACTGGATTTGAGAAAGTAAATCACCAAATAACTTTTCAACCAAGCATGAGTCAAAGGGAAAAGCTTTAGTAGTGGCAAGGTCAAAAAAGAATGGAAGAATTATGTGGAGTGAAAGAATTAAGAAAAATAAATTACCATAAATAATGCTAATGCATAAATTAGCAGGTTAAGCCCATGATTCATCATATTGGTTTGAACAATTAATTCTTTCCCTGTAAACTTTTGGACAGCGAATATATCTTAATGCATCTTCAGAAAAACTTGAACTTTATGCATTTTTGTAAACTTGTATTTTGTAAACAAAAAAATAAAATTTAAACATTAAACTTAATTTTTGGGTTAAAATGAACTCTAGGTGAGTGTTATGAAACTAAAATTTACACTTAAAAGTAAACTTTTATTTATTATTCATTTCAAACTGACTTTAAAATCAGGCGCAAGAATAATGCATAATTTAGGTTATGTTACTTATGTTTTTTTTATGATATAAATCCACTTTTCTCTTTGTAGTAATTTGTGCTTCGAAGTTGGAAACAAATAAAACTTAAATTGACAATTTTTTGTTGTATTTTTACAATATATAACACAGCATTTCCTAAATCCCATTTTCTTCAGTGACAGAAGGTGTAAATAAACAAACGAATATGAAATATGACAATTGACAATATGAATTTATGAAATCTAATAAATTTGCAGTAAAAAATGCAAGATTATTCCGCTACTCGCACAAAATCGTTTCTCGTATCACATCCAAGTACTTGCACGTCGCCAATAGAAATGTGCGTGGTAAGCCGCTTTGCCTTTTGGCCGTTCTCAACATTAGACGGGATATCACGCTTTGTCCCAGAAAGTAGAGCGGCATGTGCCGCTTTGTCCGCGAACGTGTTAATACTATTATAAGAAAATGTGTAAAACAATACATTCTTTACATTTAAATAGTTATAGTTACTTACCTAATTGTATTTATCTTTGTTTAATAAATATTTGGTATTTCCTATAATATTATTTTTCATTCATTTTTCAGTCATAATTTTTTCCTTCTTTTACAGTCTTACATGAAATATATTCAAACTACAAAGTAATTTTTTTATGTTTCAAAGTAGGGTTCAGCCAAAAACAAATATCGTCAATTAGGGTTCTCCCAAAAAAAATATCGTCAATTAAGGTTCTGAGGCCAAAAAAAATTGGGAACCCCTGGCATAGACTATACTTGTACCTTCTACTCTACTATTTTTTTTGTTGATTTAAAACAACTATTATCAAATTATTTTGCAACAAAATAAAATTAATTTTTGTAGGTCTACTTAATGCAACAAAATAAGAAAATTAATAAGAAAAAGACATCAGTGAAAAGAGGAGAAAAATGCCCAATATTCAATGAAGCTATGATGTTTAGTGTGCCTGCACATACTTTATCGGTAAGTAACACTACTTTTCTATAAAGCATTAGAAACATCACTATTAGAACCATATGCGACAATGATTTATCAAAACACTAACCTGATACTATCATTAACACACCAAACATATTACTACAATATCACACTTATTTTAATTAGCATTATCTAGCTATTCTTCTCTAGATGTATCTAACCTCATGGTCGTCACATCAGTTTATGTAAATATGTGCTTCGTTTTAATTAATTTAAACCTAGTTGTCGTGCACAACGTGTGATTAAATATAAGTGAGGTAAAACTATATATTTTTTTATTTTTTCAAAATACTAATTTTTTCCAGACAATCCAATTACGTCTTACAGTAGCAGAAACTACTCTGGACGAATCTTCAAAGGCAATATCAATAGGACACGTCATAGTGGGTGCTCAAGCCAACGGTAGATCGCTGAGTCACTGGAACCAAATGTTGACTGCATTAAGAAAGCCTGTTGCCATGTGGCACTCTCTCAGAAAGCATCAATCTGATGATCATGCCAAGCCAGATACATAATTTAAAGCTTTCTAGTAAAACTCTGAGTATAACTGTCTTTTTAAACTTGAAATAGCTTTCAATTCGAAGGAATAAACTGTAAATGAAATTTTTGTGAAGTCTGAACTCTGAACAATATTTTTTTAAATCATGTTAGTAAATATGGTAGTAAATAGTCCCTACTTCTGTAAATAGGTGAATGTACAGATATATATATATATATATATATATATATATATATATATATTATATATATATATATATATATATATATATATATATATATATATATATATAGCTATTTAGATAAAACTATCCACCTTAAATAACTTTTGAACCTCTAATTTTATGGAAAAACGCAAAAACACGTCAATTAATATTTAAAGGAGACATATCATGGTTAAGGTTGCTGGAAAATTCACCCTCTCACCCCCTGTATCAACACTTTATTTTTTTTAAATTACTTCCCCTTTTTTTATTTTATATTTGGATTCTTCGTTTTGTACTGATTTCAAAAATGTGGATATAATACCTTTGGCTTGAAGTCATTAGTTTATGAGATAGACAATTTTCTTGTTAACAAGATAGTATCTCTTTTACCTTAATTGACTTTAACAAAATAGGATGTAGCATAATTTAAACTTTTTAAATATTTAACCGTACTATTTGTAGTACCTTCAAAAACCAAGAAACACAAAAATTCACTTTTTATTAAAGTTTTATCAAAGGCGAATGACGAAGTTTTAATGACGAATTTAAAATTCTTCACATTTAAAATAAAGGCCATAACCTATCCTTGTTAGAATCAATGGAAATCAACAAATTAAAAAACACAGATATAATTCTGAATGACCAACTTGAGACAAACAGTTCTCCCCTCCTCAACCTATTTCATTTGGCATGCTTTTACATGCTACCTAAAAAACCTAACCTAACCTATATGTAAAAGCATGCCAAAAATAGATCACTTGAGAAAGGTAATCAGGCGAAACAGTTGTAGTGATAAGTTAAAATAAATTTTGTGGAAGTTTAAAAACAAAGTTTTCAGTGTTTTATTGTTACATTTTATTAAAGATTTTCGATATTATTTTTACATTTGTTTTAATCGGTTAATAGCCAACGACAATTTGTTATAACTTGTAAGTAACAGCCCATTTTGATACGTGTGCAATTTGATCGCTAAAGTGGGGTATACTTTGCAAGAAAGAATCCAAATTGTAGGTTTATACTACAAAAATAATAATTGTGCAAGAGCTGTTGCTAGAATTTTTAATGTGTGTGTGTTTAATTTTTAAACTAAGTATGTGATTGAACTGATGCAGAAATTTAGAGCAAGAGGGTCAGTTTTCAATAAAAAAAACATAACCGACAGGGACTTTGAGGCTTAACTATCACAGTCACTGTCAATAATAAGCAGAACAATCGGTGTTTCATATTTTACAGCCTTCCAAGTCCTTCATAAATATAAGTTTCATCCATATAAAATTAAATTAATACAAGTGTTAAATGAAGAAGATTTTGATCTTTATCCCTAATTTTGCAAATTAATGATACAACGCATCATTAACAATCCACAATTGATTAACAATATTTTGCTTCTTGTATGAGTGCTTATTCTCATTAAACGGTTTGGTGAACAGATATAATTGCCGATACTGGGCTGAGAGTGATCCACATATTGTACGCGAATTTCACACACAGTATCCTCAAAAGTTAAACGTATGGTGTGGTATCTACGTGATCACATTATCGGACCCTTCTTTATCACTGAAAACTTAAATGGTGCATCGTATCTTCAATAAATTCTTTAGGCATTAGGTATTAGAACAATAGTAGCGAATGATGATAACCTTTCCGAAGATTTGGTTGTATTTCAACGTGATGGAGCTTCTCTACATTTTTCTTTACCTGTGCGATAATTTTTAAACTAAACGTTTTCCGCTACTTAGATAGGTAAGAGACGACAGATGATGGTTGGCCACCTAGGTCATCGGATTGAACACCCCTTAACTTCTTCTTATGAGAGTATTTAAAAACAAAAATTTATACTACTCAACCAGAATCTCTAGATGATTTACGACAAAGAATAGGATAAATGACGATAATTAAATGCATGTGTTAAGCATTTTAAACAATTATTGTAAAAAAATTTTAGTAGTGAAATGTTCGTTCTAAATTTGTGTAATAAAATTGTTCAAAAATAATTCTTTTTCGATCCAATTTTCTTGCTTTTGTATGTATTTTTCTCATAAATTAATCACTTCAAGCATTATGTGTTATACATTTCTGAAATCAGTACAAAGAGAAGAATCAAAACATAAAATAGAAAAGGGGAAAGTAATTAAGAAAATAAAGGGATGATACAGGGGGTGAAAGGGTGCATTTCCCAGCAACCTTAAATATGATATAATGTCTTCCCCTTTAAATATTAATTAATTGACGTGTTTTTGCGTTTTTCCTAAAAATTAGTCAAAAGTTATTTAAGGTGGATAGTTTTATCTGAAAAGCACTGTACATATAAAAAGTTAATACAAGTAAATAATAAAGATAAAATGTAATGGCATGTCTCACAGGAAAACAAAAAATAAAATAGGTATATGAACTGAAGGCAACCGTAAATACGTATTTCTGACCATTTGGTCATCATCAATATGGTGCAGTAAAAATTTCTCCTGTTCTAACTTAAAAAAAAAACGACAAAAGTCATTATTATTAAAACCTCTCTTCCTGTTGAAATAAAACAATCTCTAATTCCTCATAAAAGTCCTTCAGAACACCTTGAATATATGGCCTACCCAAAATTCATAAACCCTATATACCTCTACGTCCCATTATTAGTGCATACAATTGCATTCACATTTTGTCTTCACTTCCTCTCTAAACTATGGTGTTTTCTTTTTTTATATGTTAGTGTTCGTTACTTTCCTCTCTCCAAGTGATTCTGTTGCTGCGTTAAGTATAACGTTTTTGAGTTTTTTCCAGCTTTCCTGGATGTTATCGTTTTCTACCACTCTATTCCTAGCGATCTTCTCTGATAATATTTTTTTGTATAAGTATTCCGTGGTTTCCGTATTTTGTCGTTCGACTTAAGACAACTCATTGAAATGTCTAGATAATTTCAAGTACCTATGATTATATGGTTCATTGAATACCAAAAGGCATTTAATTGTATCAGCTGTATAAATCTGTGGTCCATGGACAAATACACCTGATGACACTTATTAAAAATCTGTATCAGTCCAATATAGCAACAGTACAACTAGATTAAAAGTTATGAAATAAATTCAAGACCTAGAGATGTGTTAGACAAGGATACGTGCTGTCACCTGACTTATTCAACATTTATGGTGAACACGTTATGAGTATAGCTTTAGATGGATGAGCCAGTGGAGTAACAGTGGCTGGTAGGAAAATCTCCAATTGAATATTATCTTTAAGCAATTCTGCTGCGAAGAATTGAGTTCTAAAGCAATAAAGTTTGTCTAAAAATCAATAAAAAGAAGACAAAAATAATGGCGGTCGACAGATTCCATACTATTCAACTTACATTTTACAGAAATACCAGATAGTCGACAGTTTTATCTATCTCAGGTCTAGTATAACTAGCGATGCTAACTGTAAAGCAGAAGTTCGGAGACGTATTGGTATGGCAAAAAATGCGATGAGTCGCCTAACTAAAGTTTATAAAGACAGATCTTCTTCTTCTTTTTCTTTGTCTAGCCATTCACGTCCACATCTGAACATAAGCCTCTTCAAGTCTTCCTTTCCATTGTTTTTTATTGTACACTACTTGTAGCCAATTTTTCCCGGCAGTCCTTTTCAGATCATCTGTCCATCTCATAGGAGGCCTGTCTCTGGGTCTTTTGTGTTGGTATGGTCTCCAGGTTAAAATTGATCTGTGCCATTTGTTTAGATCGCTCCTAGCTACATGTCCAGCGTATTCCCATTTTAACTTTAATGATTTTTGCACCACATCGGTGACTTTGGTTTTCTGTCTTATCCATGTATTTGTTTTCTTGTCCTTAAGTGATATAGCTAGCATTGCTCTTTCCATCGCGTGTTGAGTGACTCTAAATATATTCATATTCTTTTTTGTGATTGTCCATGTTTGTGCCGCATAACTTTAGATCTAAGATGTAATTGAATTTGTTGATTTCTGAGTATATAGTTCAGTTTACCGAATGCTGCCCAAGCTAACTTTCTTCTTCTTTTTATTTCTTCCGTTTAAATTTCCCTATTTAGGATTATTTTTTGTCCTAAGTATATATATTTTTCAACTTTTTCTATAACTTTTTCGTTTATTATTGTCACGGTGTCTTCGGAGTGCATGACTTTTGTTTTGTTTAAATTCATTTTCAGTTCTATTTTAGAAGATTCGGTATGTAGTTCTAAAAGCATGGTTTGCATTTCTTGTAGGTCAGTAGCTATCAGGATTATGTCATCTGCAAATCGTAGATTACTGAAGTAGCGGCCATTGATGTTTATTCCCTTATATTTCTAATTTAGGTTTTTAAAAACGTCCTCCAAAACTAAGGTGAACACTTTGGGTGATAAAGTATCTCCCTGTTTGACTCCCCTGTTTAATGGTACATGGTTCGTGTGTTCATTTTCATTTAGGTAGTATGTAGCTGTAGCTTGTTTTATAGTTTCTTTTATTTAGTTAATATATCTGCTGTCTATTCTACAATTTTGCATTGCGTTTATTACGCCCGTGTGTTCTATGGTATCGAAAGCTTTTTGGTAGTCTACAAATGCTAGGAAAACTGGAAACTTGTATTCGTTACATTTTTCTATTAATATTTTTGTGGTTAACAGGTGATCGGAAGTTGAGTAGCCTTTTCTAAAACCTGCCTGTTTATATGGTTGGTATTCGTGTAATTTCCTTGTTAGTCGAGTAGTTATGACTTTGGTGAGTATTTTAAACAGGTGTGACAGTAGGCTGATGGGTCTGTAGTTTTCCAATTTTCGACTATCACCTTTCTTGTGTAATAAGATTACTTTAGAGTTGTTCCAGCTCTTAG